GAGTACCAAATCACCTGACGCGTTATTAGTGTAGACAAATTAGCAATTCACGATGTCGTCCGAGGCTTCACCTGAAAACACTTGAAGATACGATCTTTATTCATATTTCGACACTTCACATTCACATTATACAAATTTACTTTCCTTCAAATATAAGACTTCCACGGTAAGTTCATTTCTTTGTATGCAACCATTCTCGTCCTCTTATGAACCTGATTGTTGCGAGGAAGTCAAACCTTAACACTTCGATGTAGAGAGAAATAAGATATATTTTACTTAAAGTCGATGGACATGTTTAAAAAACAAATAACACACACATGACAAGTACAAATACATTCACACTTTGACAAGAGAAAGATAAACCCACAAATGTAAAATGCCGTGTACGACAAATAGACTTGCTGGTTATATGTTTAGGTAATGAACAAACTTTCTAAAACACATAATTCTTTCATGTTTCCCGCATTTTACTAGGTATGTAAAGGTTATTGCATGGTTTTCGAGTAACAAGGGATTTATTACACCCGAGCGAAGCGAGGGTGTAATAAGTCCCGAGTGACGAGAAATCATGCAATAACTGGCTTACTGCATGCTTCCCAACTCGAACAAAACAGAAAAATTAAGTAAAAAATGTTCACCTGGACAATCTTATGACCTACCCTACACTGCAGATAATTTACATGTACCTGTGAGTGAATACTAATCAGCACCAGGTAAGTTTGTCTTAATTCTCAATAGCCCAGTCTGAGTGTATCCTTCAAAATGAATACAAGTGCTTTTGGATTACTATCAAGCTCCAGTGTCAGGGAAGTTAATAAGGAGTATATGTTCAACAATTAGAACAAAATACGGGACACAATGTTGAATTTCTGACTACATTTTCAGTTTAATTTTCAAGATGTGGCAAAGGTACAGGATATTGAAACCATTTGCATGCATACAATGTAAGGGTTTATCAATCCCTAAGGAATTCCAGTTCTTTCAATGAATGGTATATTTGAATGTAAACTTTTCCAGGAAATGCTTATAAGGAAATCAATAACGCCGCCGCCAACTCAGTAATTTTGTTTGTTTGTTTTTCAATCATGAAATTACTATTTTTAACTTTATTTATTATTATTTTTGTCTTATTTTAAATGTGTCAACTAAGTTTATCCTTTCCACTGTATTGACTTCGTCATTACTTACTTATTGATTATCTCCCCCTTTTTTACAGCATTTGTGACCACAGTCCACTTGGCACACACCCTTTCATGGTCATGTAAACATGATTGGCCATTAAAGGGGATTATGTGTGCAGTGGACTGTGGTAGCAAGTGATTTATTGCCCACAGTTTTCCATTGTGAGAGGTGGGAAGTATGCAGTAAGAGATGTTGGCAAAGCTCTCCGTTTCGTGGTCAGAAAATATATACACGTGCAAGATAACGGAAACAGACTGTAATGCGAGTTTCAATTCAGAATAATCAAAACATTCCGTACTCGGCTATTTACACAAGAATCGCAAACAATAAACTAAATACGAACAAACGGTTTTCAATGTTGGTTAATCGTACTTAAATATAATATATTTATATATAGTAATCATCGAAACACATCGATGTCTGATATGTCATTATAAATACACAAAAGTCGGAGCATTGTTTTTAACTGACTGGCTTGAACAACGGTAATGTGTAGTCACAGCAAAACATTCCGTACTCGGCTGTTTACACAAGAATCGCAAACAGTAAACTAAATAAGAACAAACGCTTTTCAATGTTGGTTAATCGCACTTTAATATAATATATATATAGTAATCATCGAAACACATCGATGTCTGATATGTCATTATAAATACACAAAAGTCGGAGCATTGTTTTTAACTGACTGGCTTGAACAACGGTAAGGTATAGCCACAGCAAAACATTCCGTACTCGGCTGTTTACACAAGAATCGCAAACAGTAAACTAAATAAGAACAAACGCTTTTCAATGTTGGTTAATCGCACTTAAATATAATATATTTATATATAGTAATTCTCGAAACACATCGATGTCTGATATGTCATTATAAATACACAAAAGTCGGAGCATTGTTTTTAACTGACTGGCTTGAACAACGGTAAGGTATAGCCACAGCAAAACATTCCGTACTCGACTGTTTACACAAGAATCGCAAACAGTAAACTACATAAGAACAAACGGTTTTCAATGTTGGTTAATCGTACTTAAATATAATATATTTATATATAGTAATCATCGAAACACATCGATGTCTGATATGTCATTATAAATACACAAAAGTCGGAGCATTGTTTTTAACAGACCGGCTTGAACAACGGTAAGGTATCGTCACAGGTAAACCAGTCTTTCTCACCAGATCTATTAATAGACTGACAGGCGCTCACTGTCGCTACAGCTGGCAGGCATGGTCGGTCAGTCGATCGGTGTACAGGTAAAGGTGACCGTCGTGCCTGGGGGAAGTTTCAGCGGAAAGGGGAAGTTTCAGCGGAAAGGGGAAATTTCAGCGGAAAGGGGAAGTTTCTACGGAAAGGGGAAGTTTCAGCGGAAAGGGGAAGTTTCAGCGGAAAGGGGAAATTTCAGCGGAAAGGGGAAGTTTCAGCGGACCAAGGGGAAATTTCACAGAAAAGGGGAAGTCCTACCGGGAATGGGGAAATCCTACCGGAATGGGGAAATCCTACCGGAATGGGGAAGTTTCATCGAAAATAGGGTAATTTCTACCCCTTTTGCGAGGAAAATTCCATAAAACTATTCCCTAGTGGTGGCTGAATCCAGGTCAAAACGGCCGCAGTGTAAAAACGGCCCTAGTTAAAACGGCCCTACTGTAAAAACGGCCCTACTTTTTAAATCGTGATATACAATTTGATTGGATTTTAAATTAAGCTAGCATTCAATTTGTTTCCAATAAGATAATTGTTATTTATGTTTAGTCAATATAATTAGAGGGTGTCAGCCACCAATGCATACATTGTTGTTGTCCAGCTCTTGCCACGTGGAGGCTCCCTCTGTAAGAGCCACACGAATTTAGTTTGCCGAAGTTACTACCGAAATTTCACTATAAAAATTGTCCAAACTGAATGTTTCTAATTATCAAACCATAAATGTCCAAATCTGTAAAAACTGTTCACATTATATGATACCCTACTGCTGCTCAACCGTCGCTCTCGGGGCATAGACGTGCCCAACCCTCTTCAGGAACGCCGAGGTGGAGATGGCATCTTGGTCCCACAGCTCCGCTACCTTCCCCTGGATTCGGCGGTAGGTCGTCCTCTGGTGCCTCTGGAGTGATGACTCGGACACCAGTCTCATCTGGACGCTGACCAGTGAGCCTTCCTTCAGGAGCAGGGGAACCAGGATGTAGAACGGCAAATTGGCCCGTCCTGCTTTGCCGTTCAATCTATGGTGCCAACCTGTAACAGATAAAGTTAAAGATAATGTAAATACGTGTATGATAAGTGCGTGTTGTTATTATTTACATACTTTTACCGAGTCGTTCAATGTAATAAAATATCTTTCATACATGTTCGGATGAGTATAATTATGACATTGCGCTCTATTTTATAAATACCTTGTGATATTCCAATTCATCGGCCTAATGTATGTTGAGTCTGCAGGTGGGGCTGGAAGTACCGACAACTCCAGGGTGGGAGGCTGGTCCAGACTCCTTCGTGGTGGTGGCGACATCGGGAGGTTGGACACTTCCAACACTGGAGGCTATGAAATGGAAGAAATGAAATACTATTATATAGTTTAACTCCATTCATCTCTTATATCATATCTTATTATATATCTTATATCCAAAAACACTCGATATGATACCGAAAAACCGCTATTTATTTCTTACCTCATTCTGTTGGACGATGTAAGTGGAGTCAAGGTTCGAGACAGGATTTGTCGATGTCGGAGTGACTGAGGGTGGGTCCGCACTACTCGTCTGTTGGGGTAAAAAATATTATTTTAATCGTAACGTTAACGGGTTAGCACGGTAATTTGTATATCGACCAAATAATAATTATAAGATAAGTATAACGGGACGTATATATATATGAACATAATAATTATAAGATAAGTATAACGGGACGTATATATATATGAACATAATAATTATAAGATAAGTATAACGGGACGTATATATATATGAACATAATAATTATAAGATAAGTATAACGGGACGTATATATATATGAACATAATAATTATAAGATAAGTATAACGGGACGTATATATATATGAACATAATAATTATAAGATAAGTATAACGGGACGTATATATATATGAACATAATAATTATAAGATAAGTATAACGGGACGTATATATATATGAACATAATAAATATAAAATAAGTATAACGGGACGTATATATATATGAACATAATAAATATAAGACAATTATATCACTTACCGGTACCACACGTTCTATGCTGCCATCTACTACAGCAATCGCACTGCAGAACATCAACGTCAAGGAAACGATTTTACAAATCAGTTAAATCTTGTGTATCAACTAACGGTAAATGTTCTAATTATTTTGAGTGCAGTGTTGGATTAATGCAAGGGGAAATATTATCGCCTTTATTGTTCTCAGTTTTTGTTAATGATTTTGAAACCTCATTTATTGAAAATGGTGCAACGGACTATGACTTTGGTAAATTAAGTTAATTTTTGTTAATGTATGCAGATGACTTAGTATTGTTTTCCGAAACTATTGAAGGTTTACAGAGTCTTTTGGATAATCTGAATGTGTATTCTACTAAATGGAAATTAACAGTTAACACTGAGAAAACCAAAGTAGTTGTATTTAGAAAAGGTGGTCGTATACGAGATAGAGAAAGATGGATGTATAATGGTTTGGAGGTGGAAGTTGTAGATGTTTTCAGCTACCTAGGAGTAAAACTTAAATTCAATAATAAATTTAATCATATACAGAAACAGTTATCTGACCAAGGAAGAAAGGCCATGTATGCTCTTTTTTCAAGCTCTTCTAACTTGAGCCTAAACTGTACAACGTTATTGCATTTATTTGATACGTATGTTTGTAGTATATTGCATTACGCATGTGAAGTATGGGGATCTACAAAAGGTACGGATATTGAGAGGTTACACCTACACTTTTGTAAGAAGATTTTAAAAGTTAAGAAGTCGACTTGCAACGCAATGGTTTATTTTGAATTAGGTCGACATCCTTTGGAAAATATAAGAAAATTCAGAATGATAAAATATTGGTTAAAACTAATGGATTCGAAAAATTGTATTTTGCAAACTGCGTATTCCTTTTTAAGTAGTAGCAATACAGGCAATTGCTTTAACTGGGTTAAGTATGTCAAACATTGTCTTTTTTCTCTCGGATTCGCAGATGTATGGACAAATTATTATTCATATAACCATAAAAGTATTTTGTACATGATAAAGCAAAGAATATTTGATCAAAGTCAACAATATCTGAGAGGGCTATTAGAAACCTCACCTAAATGTATTTTATATAAGCACTTAGCAAATCACCATACTCTTCAATACTATTTGACAAAGTATATTCCAATGAAATACCGGATCTGTTTATCTAAACTTCGTCTTTCTGCACATAATTTAGCTATTGAGACTGGTAGATACAATAACATAACGAGAGAACAAAGACACTGTATGAGCTGCATTTCAGATATTGAAGACGAATATCATTTTATTTTAATATGTAACAATTTTCATATTCTGAGAGTAAAATACATAAAACCATATTACTGGCGAAATCCTTCAATGTTTAAACTTGTACAGTTANTGATGATGATGATGAAGATGATGATGATGATGATGATGATGTGAGAGCGTTAATGATTGTTGAATGCACAATAATGATGTGGGAGTGATAATGAGTGTTGATTGCACAATACATATACGTAATTTGTAATTTATTGTAAAGTATAGTTATCCAATAAGTTGTCAAACTTAAGGAATAAAAGTTGAATTGTGTATGTGTGTGTGTGTGTGTGTGTATGTGTGTTTGTATCATATTGTATGTTGTCTCTGTATTGTTTTGTATATATGTTATGACTGATAAGTCAACCGACTTAAAGTAATAAAGAACTTGAACTTGAGCATGCTGTGCAGGTCGGATAACACTGTCGCACTCTAAACAGTTCGCCAATGCTGGTCTCATGGTTGAAAGTCTTATTCAAATTCAAATGGTATGTGAAGATTTTGCTATACATTCGTCCAATTTATTAAACCCTCTGACCAATCCCGTTAATTGTTGTTTTAATTGAGTCACTCCGATGTACTCCGAGGTACTCTGTTAAAACAACAAAGACCCTCCTCCCATATCTAAATTATTATTAGTTAATATTGTAACTATTTTTTTCAAATGCTATTCAATAAGTTTTTTAATTAATTCTTTTCTCTAAATAATAAAATTAAATTAAACACTGAAGTAGAAAACACCATTGCAAAGGTATTTGAGACTGAGGAGGGTCAACTATCAATGATTTTTGTTTGTTTGTTTGTTTATGTTTAACGGCCCATCGACGGCTGTGGTCATTTAGGGCCATGGTGATTTATTTATTCACTTTACTTTTTTAACAAACATGTGAATAGCGAAGATAAAATCAGATAAAATGGTTCATTTTAAAAGTATTCGCATTGTATGTGTAGATAATTAAAAATAATAAAAGGGGGTTAAAATAATAAAAGAGATAACGAATAGTTGATATGGAATATGCGATATATATATAACGTCAATGAAAACACAAACACAATTATAATGTTTTTATCTGTACATGTACATATCTTTATTTCTTGAAAGTGCATGTAACTTTATTAACATGATATGAAGTTATGTACCTGTATTACGCACTTATAGTACTTGCAAGTACTATACAGTATATACTATACTATATATAGAGTGGGGCCGTTTTAACTAGGGCCGTTTTTACTAGGGCCGTTACTGCGGCCGTTTTATACCGTGGTGGCTATCACAACAGTTATATCCCTTGTAGGGCCAGGGGTGACGCCAGGCCATAACCATGACCTAATTGACTACCACTCACACAAACACTGTAGACGGTGTAGACGCACTCGATCGATAAGGAGAGAGGCGACAGAGGAATGTGTGTGTGCTTTCGTAACAACAATAACATCTGAAGGATCTAATTCTACCAGATTTCAGTCGAGCTCCCGGAAACGTTACACAAAATGAGACACGCAAGGTAGGATTACAAGATACCGATAATACCCACATATCAAACATGTTCGTTCTAGATATCTAAAACAAAACACGTATGGTAGCCTACTGATATGGGTCCCGGCACACTAATCGTAGGCGCTTGTTTCTAGAATTTCTACCACATTGGATTAAAATCCACAATTTCCACGTTATGTTTTTCCGCGCAGCCATTTTATCAAGCTATATCTCGTAACTACGTGACCTGCTGGACACCACACAGGGATATTTTAGACGTTTGAATTGGCCATCGTCTGTAAACTGACACAAAAATTACCAGAAGTTCGTCCGGAAAACATCAGAAATAATCACCGATTAAAAAAACATGCATAAATATCCAGTTTTGCTTAATGCACTTTTTATCTTGCTTAAAAGGAGCCCATATCTGAAAAAACGGTGATATGTTTCATTCATGAACTGGTCTTTTTTGTAGTCTGACAAACGTACGAAAATATCGTATGCAAATGAGGCCACATCTCCTTGCCGATTTTTTTCCACTTCCGAAGAGCCAAGGGGACATTCTTATATCGATAAACAGTGTTTTCAATAAAACGTTAACCTTAATTGTAACGCAATGAACTTCCAATTCTATCCAATTTTAAACAGAACAAAATGAGAAATAACTTACCATCAACCAAAACCGATATAAAACTGCAGAAAAAAAACAATGACAGATTCTATATCATAACTAAATAAATATAATAAATACATTTATAAAATTACATGAATTCGTTCAATTTGACATCTTGAAAAATCAATTTAAATTGTGAAATGTTATAAAAAGTTGTTTTGATAATTAATTTGACAATCAAAGATAATTATTTTTATTCCAAACAAAGCTTTTGTTCTTGCAGGTCACTGTAGAGAATTTCTTTTTAGTGTATTCGATTTATCTTTGAACACTACACACGGAAACATATGACGGCTACTTCCGACGGGAGAAGTTTGCTAAGGATAGTTTATGTTCTGATTTTTTAAAAATACAGTTTTATGTTGCTATTTTTTTGTTTCCTTTAGTAGATTATATACATGTTTATGACAGTCTTCCGTAATTTCAACAGTTTTCTGCCGATATGAGTACGAGATCGCGGATGCTTCTTAAGTGCGCGGAAATCGGTAGCCCGAGGATAGTTTATGTATTTGATCCGAAAACGGTCGCACATACACATGGACGTTAGGAAACCCCGAGATCATGTCACTTATTAGGTCACCTGAGCTTTAGCTCAAGTGACCTATTGCTATCCGTTTTCGTCCGTCGTCCGTTAACATTTTACATTTCAAACTTAAAGTCAAGTTCTGCTGGGCCGATTGAACTGAAAGTTGGTAGGAATGATCAGCTCATGGTCCTGACAAAGTGTTGTTATTTTTCAGGTCAATCAGAAATCCAATATGGCCGCCACGGCCGCCATTTTGAAAACCTATTTCAAACTTAAAGTCAAGTTCTGCTAGGCCGATTGAACTGAAAGCTGTTCAATACCAGATTTCAACAATGACATTCAGTCTTGTTCTGCCCTTCAATCTACTGAAGGCGAGGTTGATGCTCTTGTTGAAGCATACACATTTGGTATAGAAGCCCTTATAGAGAAACACGCACCTCTGCAAACTAATGTGATAACTGTGAGACCAAATGCTCCGTGGTATAATGAAAATCTCTGCGTAGAAAAACAGAATCGTAGAAAAGCAGAGAGACAGTGGCGACGGACCAAATTAACCGTTCACCAACAGATTTATAGGGAGCAATGTCGGCAAGTTGGTTCACTTCTCTTTTAGTCAAAGAAGGCTTATTATTCGGAAAGAATCGAAGAATGCGGTAAGGATAATAGACAGCTTTTTAGACTCACCAAAAACCTAATGGGACAGAAAGGTGAAATTATCCTACCAAGCTGTAATTCTGAAAAAGACTTAGCAAGCAAGTTCAGTGATTACTTTCTGAATTAAATCAGCTCAATCAGGAAAAATATTGTCGAAGTGAACACCTCTGCATGCTGACATTGACATCTCTGTCATGAATGCTGACATTGCATTTGATGGGGAACCATTGGCAAAGCTCTCACCAACAACCCAGGACGAGTTGCGCAACATTATCATGACCTCACAATCAAAGTCCTGTGAGCTTGATCCACTGCCTACAGACCTATTAAAGCAATGTCTTGAAGCACTGCTTCCTTTGATTACCTCAACCATGAACAAATCATTGGCTGAGTCAAAGGTTCCATTATGTTTCAAGATGGCACATGTCAGACCATTGTTAACTCATTCACCCCTGAAATTTCATAATAAACTATTCCAACCTTTGTTTTGGAAGTGATAAATGTGTCTTCAGGGGTGAATGAGTTAAAGAAGCCTGGAATGGACAAGGAGTAGTTGAAAAACTACTACCACCCAGTTTCAAATCTGCCTTTTCTGTCTAAGATCTTGGAGAAGGTTGTGTCCCGGAGTTTCGAGGTTCATCTCCATGCAAACAGTCTTCATGACAACATGCAATCGGCCTACCGCATGGGACACTCGACTGAAATGGCCCTCCTTCGTGTACATAATAAAAAGCAACTGCATTGGAAAACAAGTGCAGAGTGGTGCTTGTCATGCTGGACTTGTCAGCTGCATTTGACGTCATCGACCATGGTATACTTTATAAACGTCTGGAATACTCTTATGGAGTGACTGATACAGCACTATGCTGGATACAGTCTTACCTGAGTGAACGACGGCAGTGTGTTGCCATCAGATCTTCCCCCTCACATGACAAAGTACTAGATTTAGGGGTTCCTCAAGGGTCGGTGTTAGGACCACGAGAATATTGTATATACTCCAAACCGATTGGAGAGATTTGTCGTCGCCATAGCCTTCTCTATCATTGCCATGCCGATGACACACACATTTACATGATCATCAAACCACAGGACAGTTGGAATACAGTCTCAGTAAGTCTGGAAGCTTGTCTGACAGATATCAGTATCTGGATGAACGCCAACATGCTTAAGCTAATCAGGAAAAGACGGAACTAATCGTCTTTTCCACAAAGTGTCAACAAAAAATGGCTCTCCAGTTCAAGGTCGGTGCCAGAACTATTGAGACTGTTCCAGCTGTTAAAAACCTAGGGGTATACTTTGATAGTTCACTGAGCATGGAGAAACAAGTGAACGCTATTGCCAAATCCTGTTACTACCAGATCAGGAACATAGGCTGTATTCGGCAGTTAATAACTGCAGATGCATGCAAGATTTTGGTGAATTCACTTGTTACCTCTCGGTTGGATTATGGTAACACCCTGCTCTGTGGTATATCTGACAAACTAACTAGTCATCCAGAACACTGCAGCACGGCTAGTTACCTATACTGAGAGAGAGATCTCATCACACCTGTGCTTATTCGTTGCATTGGTTACCTATACGTTACAGGTCGCAGTACAAAATTCTGGTGTACACATACAAGGCACTGGACGGAACAGCTCCTCAGTACCTACAGGAGCTTGTTACCCTGTATCAGCCATCACAAATCTTTTTTTTGGGTCCCAAAATCTCGTACTGTGACCTACGGAAACAGATGCTTCGGGAGGGTTTCAGCTACGTTGTGGAATAGCTTACCATCTGCTATTAGAAAGTCAAATACCCTGGCCAAGTTCAAGAGAGCCATCAAAACTCACCTCTTCACGTCTGCATTTTAAAATCCTTGCAAATACGTCATGTAAATACCACCCTTTAATATGTTCCGGCGTCCATCCGTCAACTTTTTCTTTTGAACGACTTCTCCTGAAGAACTGTAGGACCTAGGGTCATGATATTTTGCCAGTAGTTACCTGGGATGGAGTGCTATAGATTTTCCTCATTAAAACGACCTTGACCTACTTTCAAGGTCACAGGGGTCAAATATGTTAAAAATTTCAAACAACAATATCCTAAGAACCATTTGAACTTGAGTCATGATACATCGGTATGTTATGTAGACCAGCAGTGCGAATATTTTTTTCAATTACAGTAATGAGGTCAAAAGGCAACTTCAAATACTTGTCGGGGGTCAAATGTCAACATGGGTTAAAAACTTTAACAATCTTCTTCTCAAGTTCCAAAAGGCCCAGGGTCATGATATTTTGAGAGGAGGTACCTGGGATGGAGTGCTATGAATTTTCCTCATTAAAATGACCTTGACCTACTTTCAAGGTCACTGGATTTAATTATGTTAAAAACTTCAAACAACAATATCCTAAGAACCATTTGGACTAGAGTCATCATACTTAGGTATGTTATGTAGACCAGCGATGTGAATTGTTTTCTTTATTACAGTAATGAGGTCAAAGGTCAACTTTAAGTGCAAGTCGGGAGTCAAAGGTCAATGTGGGTTAAAAGCTTTAAAATTAAAATTTTAAACAACAATATCTTCAGAACTGTTTAAGTGATGTTAAAATGTCTTGTGTTCTAGTTACCAAATTTGGTCTTAAGTTACCTATATATGTCAATGCACATGTAACACTCACTATAAGCTTGGCCCTGGTTGCCAGCCATGCCCTTTGAAATTTAGTAACTTGGATGATAACATACATGGTTTGCCCACATCCCAGGGGCAGAGGGGCAGGCCCCAACAAGAGAAATAGATTAATCTTTGATATCCTTCTCCATCCATATGGATAAAGGGATTAAAAAAAATATAATCTGGAACATCCTTGGGCAAAATGGATTTAGAATTGTAGAAATGAAGGTTGTAACTGCCCTTGAGAGTAGATGGGAGGGGCACAATAAGGAAATAGGAGAAAATCGTTTTTGAAATCCTTCTCCTTCTGTAGGTATGGAGGGATTTAAACCAATATTTTTTCTAGGGCAATTAATCCTTTGTCAAAGGGGACAGAATTTGTATAAACAGAAGGTGTGTGGTTTCCCTGGGGGCAGGGGGCCAGAAAAGGAAAATAAAATCTTTAAAAACCTGCTCTTTCCAAACTGAAAAGGTTTTTAACCAAATTTAATTAAGAGTACTCTGGATCAAGGGTATTCGTGTACAATATTGTATAACTAGAGGGTGTGCCTTTCCCCCAGGGGAGGGGGATGGCAGAATGGTGTAGCCCAATAGGGGGAATGAGGGTATTGTTGAGACATGTATATTTGCTGCATTATTTAATGAGAATATTCTGCTTTAGTATCCAGTGGAGTAATACAGGCCCTCTGGGTCTCTTGTCTTGTTTTGTAGTCGTGGCATGCTGTCAAACTTGAAGGCCATTACAGCCCCAGGTTGTAGATGTGCAGTTACTACGGCGACACAGCGGGTTGATCATGAGGTCGGAAACTCTACTGGTGGAAATAACCTGATTGACATTCCTGGTCCCAATGGAATCTACGCACTTTCATATATCGGGCTGCGGTTTCAGTTCAAGCCTTTCAGTTAGTCATGCAATATATTGACAAATATTTATAAACTTGTTCAAATAGTTATTGCCCTTTAATTTAAACTCATAATAATTTCAAAAGAGTTGTACAGTGATCATGAGGTCATAAAGGTCAAACGGAACTGAACAAGTTCATTTTTATCATTGACTGATTAAAGCTTTACCATAACATCACTTATATTTTGTGAAAAAGAAGTCAATTCACCATTTTTGTCATAATTGTGTACATATGTGATTCAGAATGTGAAGTACGCTATGTACATGTAGCTCGTGTTATATATACCTTAAGCTTGTTGTTTCAGAGTAACATCGATCACTTCATAATCCTAACTATTACTGTCACATAGCTAAAGGCCTGTTCTCTGACAGTATTTGAAACAAACATCACACGCTATTTAACAAATGCTATGCCATTCATTTTGCTAGGTAAATACGACTTGCGGAAGTTTAGCACAAAGATGGAGGCATGGAAAAACCAGTATGGTCCTATTGTCCGAGCAAAGGTAGGAAACAGATGGAGCCTGTACCTGTTTGATCCAGACGACATAGAGAAGGTGTTCCGGGCCGACCAGAAATACCCCGAACGCGCTACACTTCCCATTCTGTCAGTCTATGAAAAGCGTCAAAAAATACCACCAAGTCTTGCCAATACGTGAGTCATCACAAAAGACAAACACCAATATGTACCTTGTATATATATACAATTATACAAATACCTGTACACTGTATATCTCAATATTACTGCCATCATTAAGATGAAACTACAACCTGTTGCTTGGGGCATATTAGGAACTGTGTGAGCCAAATACTAGTACAATGAATCATTTGATCAAATGGAAATAGATTGGACAAAACTTGATACTTCATTCCAATATCAAGTAACAGATGTATAGTCTGATTGAAGTTTTGTTGTGACTTTTAAGGTTACCGACTACTATGATGGGTGTAGTTCACCATATCCTTGAATTAGGCCCTGCGAGTTTTATGATGAGTGTAGTTCACCATATCCTTGAATTAGGCCCTAATTCACTTTATGGTGCCTGTCTCTTCAGCTTTACAAATTGATATCAGCATAGCGGGTAGTGAACCCATTCGGGTCTGGTTGTAATTTGGTATATCCTTCAAGATGGATTCAAATATGTAGGGAACAACCATAGGAACACCTAAATGGTTCAACCAGACTACTCAACTTCCTCTATTCCAGAGATTGGTAACATAGAATACCATGAGACCAATCTGACAAGACCAATTAACAGGTGCTGGTTAGACTTGCGTACACATCACCCATCTTAACAATATAGACCATATCAAAATGGCTGCCTCCTGGTTCTACATGATCCCAGTATGGCATTTAACTTGTGTTTATGACGTTACAATCCACAATTGTGATATACATGTATGTACTTTGCAATACTCTAGAATACTCGAAACCTCTCAATATATATGTACCACAATAATAGCAGAAGTACCTGTTTGTCTATCACTTTGAGTACTCCACCTTAATTGACCAAAACTGACTGAACTTACCCCACTTATCCCGCTTACCCACTTATCCCACTTACCCACTTATCCCACTTACCCACTTATCCCACTTACCCACTTACCCCACTTAGCCCACCCCCTGCAGGATACGGACATGGTTATACTGGTGTTAGTTTTCTCTGCAGCCAAACCCTCCTTTGACATAGCAATATCTATGACCTAAATAATTAGAAGTCTAGGAAACTCAGACAAGTCATAGGTGTGAGGACTCGGGACGAGTCATTGGTGCGAGGACTCCGACAAGTCATTGGTGTGAGGACAGACGAGTCATTGGTGCAAGGACTCAGACAAGTTATTGGTGCAAGGACCAAGACGAGTCATTGGTGTGAGGACTTGGACGAGTCATTGGTGTGAGGACTCTGACGAGTCATTGGTGTGAGGACTCGGACAAGTCATTGGTGCAAGGACCCAGACGAGTCATTGGTGTGAGGACTCGGACGAGTCATTGGTGCGAGGACTCCGATAAGTCATTGGTGTGAGGACAGACGAGTCATTGGTGCAAGGACTCAGACAAGTTATTGGTGCAAGGACCAAGACGAGTCATTGGTGTGAGGACTTGGACGAGTCATTGGTGTGAGGACTCTGACGAGTCATTGGTGTGAGGACTCGGACAAGTCATTGGTGCAAGGACCCAGACGAGTCATTGGTGTGAGGACTCTGACGAGTCATTGATGTGAGAACTCAGACAAGTCATTGGTGCGAGGACTCTGACGAGTCATTGGTGTGAGAACTCAGACGAGTCATTGGTGTGAGGACTTGGACGAGTCATTGGTGTGAGGACAGACTAGTCATTTGTGCGAGGACTCAGACAAATCATTGGTGTGAGGACAGACGAGTCATTGGTGCAAGGACTCAGACGAGTCATTGGTGTGAGAACTCAAACGAGTCATTGGTGTGAGGACTCAGACGAGTAGACAAGTTATTGGTGTGAGGACTCCGACAATTAAGTCATTGGTGTGAGGACTCAAACGAGTCATTGGTGTGAGGACTCAGACAAGTCATTGGTGTGAGGACTCAGACGAGTAGACGAGTCATTAGTGTGAGGACTCCGACAAGTCATTGGTGTGAGGACTCGGACGAGTCATTGGTGCGAGGACTCAGACAAGTCATTGGTGTGAGGACAGACGAGTCATTGTTGCAAGGACTCAGACGAGTCATTGGTGTGAGAACTCAGACAAGTCATTGGTGTGAGGACTCAGACGAGTAGACGAGTTATTGGTGTGAGGACTCCGACAATTAAGTCATTGGTGTGAGGACTCAGACGCGTAGACGAGTCATTAGTGTGAGGACTCCGACAATTAAGTCATTGGTGTGAGGACTCAAACGAGTCATTGGTGTGAGGACTCAGACGCGTAGACGAGTCATTGGTGTGAGGACTCAGACAAGTCATTGATGTGAGGACTCATGACAATTAAGTCATTGGTGTGAGAACTCCAAACCAGTAAAACATGCTCTTCAATGTTTATTTCTAGAAATGGTATAGAATGGTACACTATGAGGGCACCGACTCAGAAGGTCATGCTTCGTCCCAAGGCAGTGACCAAATATGCACCAAAATTGAGCAAAATAGCAGACGATTTTGTTCTTGCATTGGAAAATAAAGATCGCCTTGACAACCTACCATTCAAACTCATGGAGTATTCAGCCGAAGGTTTGTATGCATGTTTTTCTCTGTAAGTGACACATTAAAGTTCTTGAAAGAAACAATAGCAGGTTATCAGGTACATTTCTAAACTATTAGAACCACTTAATGACAAATGTTGGACATGATCGGAGTAAAATTCATGGACAAAATGTAGCTGATGTAGGTGTGTAATACTTACAGGTGTGGGGATGTTGTGTTTTATAAAGTTAATACATTGTAGGTGTGGGTATGTTGTGTTTTATACAGGAATACATTGTAGGTGTGGGGATATTGTGTTTTATAAAGTTAATAGATTGTAGGTGTGGGGATGTTGTCTTTTATACAGTTATACATTGTAGGGGTGGGGATGTTGTGTTTTATAAAGGTAATCCATTGTAGGTGTGGGGATGTTTCGTTTTATACAGTTATACATGTAGGTGTGGGGATTTTTTGTTTTATACAGTTATACATTGTAGGGGTGGGGATGTTGTGTTTTATACAGTTATACATTGTCGGTGTGGGGATGTTGTGTTTTAACAGTCATACATTGTAGGGGTGGGGATGTTGTGTTTTTTAAAGTTAATACATTGTAGGTTTGGGGATGTTGTGTTTTATACCGTTAATACATTGTAGGTGTGGCGATGTTGTGTTTTATAAAGTTCATACATTGTAGGTGTGGGGATGCTGTGTTTTATAAAGTTAATACATTGCAGGTGTGGGGACGTTGTGTTTCATACAGTTAATACATTGTAGGTGTTGGGATGTTGTGTTTTATACAGGAATACATTGTAGGTGTGGGTACGTTGTGTTTTATACAGTTATTCATTGTAGGTGTGGGGATGTTGTCTTTTATACAGTTATACATTGTAGGGGTGGGGATGTTGTGTTTTATACCGTTAATACATTGTAGGTGTGGTGACGTTGTGTTTTATACAGTTAATACTTTGTAGGTGTGGGGACGTTGTGTTTCATACAGTTAATACATTGTAGGTGTGTGGATGTTGTCTTGTATAAAGTTAATACATTGTAGGGGTGGGGACGTTGTGTTTTATACATTTATACATTGTAGGTGTGGGGATGGTGTGTTGTATAGAGTTATACATTGTAGGTGTGGGGATGTTGTGTTGGGACGTTGTGTTTTATACAGTAATACATGGTAGGTGTGGGGATGTTGTGTTTTATACAGTTAATACTTTGTAGGTGTGGGTTGGTGTGTTTTATACAGTAGTACATTGTAGGTGTGGGGATGGTGTGTTGTATAGAGTTATACATTGTAGGTGTGGGAATGTTGTGTTTTATACAGTAAGACATTGAAGTTGTGGGGACGTTGTGTTTGATACAGTAATACATTGTAGGTGCGGGGATGTTGTGTTTTATACAGTAAGACATTGAAGTTGTGGGGACGTTGTGTTTTATAAAGTTAATACATTGTAGGTTTGGGGATGTTGTTTTTTATACAGTTAATACATTGTAGGGGTGGGGATGTTGTGTTTTTTAAAGTTAATACATTGTAGGTGTGGGTTGGTGTGTTTTATACAGTAGTACATTGTAGGTGTGGGGATGGTGTGTTTTATAAAGTTAATACATTGCAGGTGTGGGGACGTTGTGTTTTATACAGTTAATACATTGTAGGTGTGGGTTGGTGTGTTTTATACAGTAATACATTGTAGGTGTGGGGATGTTGTGTTTTATACAGTAATACATTGTAGGTGTGGGGATGTTGTGTTCTTTTGGTGGCTTTGTACTCACAAAGCATTGCCATTTCTACTAATCGCCAATACTTCGTTCTTCCAAATTGGCTTTCTTATATAATTCCTATATAAGTGCCCCCAAATAATTAAATATTCCTACATATTCATTGTCTGAGCCCATTAGCTCATCTCTCATCTATAAATAGGCTGGATAAACCGGGTCATGACTGTCTGGTTGGCAGCACTCGCTCCAATCATCTCTCCTCCCTGCAACTTAAGTTTCCTCTGGTCTCAGGCTCCGCCATGGTCATGAAACTTCAAGTAGGTAACAGCCCTACTTTCTCCAGTAGGTAACAGCCCTACTTTCCCCAGTAGGTAACAGCCCTACTGCCACAGTCATGACCATCTCCAGCCTAGTCTTACATGTATATTTCTTGGGGGTACTCGTGCATTTGTCGCCCCCCATTTGCCAAAAGATATTAGATGAAGTAGCATATTATCATTACATAATAAAGCTGTCAAACCTCATACCATTGTTGTTGTTTTCTTTAAAGTGATGGTTATTTGTTAACCAAAGTTTTAAAGATTACAATAATTTCCCAACACTCAGCTGTTTCCATACCTCACTCTCTTGGGATCGGAGCGTATCTTACATGCACATAACATGTTCCACTGCGCATCCTCATTACACATGCAAGCTTGACCACTACATCTTGACCAAACATACGTCACTAGCCTCGCTCTCAATCTACCGCCGATGCTGAAGACGTCTGCATCACTCGCTATCCATCCATCCACCCCTCCACCTCCATTAAACACATCCATACACCTTGCATGAATGACCAATATCATCTTCGAATTCGCCCTCGTGTTACATTACATGCTTACCTGGGTGCGACCAATGTACTTTACCCACCTCGGGCAGGCTTTCTTATATAATTCCTATATAAGTGCCCCCAAATAATTAAATATTCCTACATATTCATTGTCTGAGCCCATTAGCTCATCTCTCATCTATAAATAGGCTGGATAAACCGGGTCATGACTGTCTGGTTGGCAGCACTCGCTCCAATCATCTCTCCTCCCTGCAACTTAAGTTTCCTCTGGTCTCAGGCTCCGCCATGGTCATGAAACTTCAAGTAGGTAACAGCCCTACTTTCTCCAGTAGGTAACAGCCCTACTTTCCCCAGTAGGTAACAGCCCTACTGCCACAGTCATGACCATCTCCAGCCTAGTCTTACATGTATATTTCTTGGGGGTACTCGTGCATTTGTCGCCCCCCATTTGCCAAAAGATATTAGATGAAGTAGCATATTATCATTACATAATAAAGCTGTCAAACCTCATACCATTGT